AGCTATTATTTGTCCTGTTAATTTTCACAAACATTTTTAAAACTTAATTTGAAAAGTGTTCCATGTCTCACCCATTTAAAGTTTACCCCCTCCCTAACTATAATTGTGAACTGTTTTGTAGTTTTTATTCAATATGAAGGGATTCTTTCATCTTACTTTATAATTTGTATTTATACATATTTCACCTTGCAGCCTGAGCACAAGATCCAGTCTGGTAACGGACCACTGCAGATCTCACTCCAACTCGTCCCTAAGATGCTAAAACCTCTCGTCAAGGAGTGGATACCTCAGGCATTTGTTATTTCTTTCAAGGTATTTTGACGATGAAAACATTTTCTTTCTTTCTAAAAGATGGTAAAACTATTCTGAATCAATGAAAAAAAAGCATTCAGACCAGGACTGTTTCGATTTCTGGCTACAGCCAAAGACTTTGTGTGATACAAAAAATATTTAGGTAAATGTGAAATTGTGTATAAAGGTGTCTTTATTTATTTCCAGCTGGAAACAGACCCTAGCCTTCTTCTAAAGAAAGCAAAAGAAGCACTTGAAAAGTACAGCCATCAGGTAAGTATATTACATATTCAGTTTAAACTACCCTGCATAGATTGCATCGATTAACACTTTTGGTAAAGAGACTAATCTTAGACTAGTCTGCATGTTTATTGGTGCTGAGGTAATACCTTTAAAACTGTTTCCTAATTTCTATTTTTTTTATCTTTAGTAGTAGTTAAAGGGTTCTTTTTTTTTTTAATTTCTAACATCATCCATCTCCACATACTTGCAGATGCAGGAATCATTCAATTCTTTCCCAATAATTTCTTATTCTGTTTTCTATCTCCAGGTAGTTATAGGAAACATCCTTGAGACTCGTAAAGAACTAGTCTGGGTGGTCACTGCCACAGAGTCCAGTCCATTTCAGATCAGACTGACCCCTGAGGAAGCAGACAGTGGCGTGGAAATAGAAAAGTACATTACTGAATACCTGGCAAAGATGCATGAAACTTTTATAACGCGAGCTGACAGTGTGAAATGAATATCGGTGCAGCGCGTGAGATTTTTTAAAAGAAAAGCCTGAAGCAAAGTTGGATTAGCAGGAATTATACGATAGTACATATATCATGTCTAATGTTTTTTATGGCTGCGGGTTTTTGGTTAGTGTGCTAAGCTGATAGGGGTTACGAACGCACCATTAAATCTAGCTTTCTAGGAGCAATAGAAGTGGATGAGAAAGGTCTCATAAACGATACTTACCTTTTTTTTATCTCGGACGTCGAATTTTAGAGCACAATCACCAAAATAATGACTCAAGCCACGATTTTGTGGCATTTCATGCTCGTAATAAATATATCTCTTTTTTCTCTTTTGTGGTCTGAATGTGAAAAAGTGAAGTTCGTCAGTTTAATATATAATTCTCTCTTTCAACGTGAAAACTGCAACACACGTTGGTATATTTACCAGTACCAGAACTGTCTACTAGTCTGTTAAAATGAAGGCATGTCTACATTTTCCAAATCGCTTTATTCCATCCAATGTGAAAGCAATTTTATACAGGTATATCTTTAATCAATAACCACCGTCAAACTCATCAAAATCGACAATGTTGTCTCCATTTACGTCCATCTTGACAAATTCGACATCAAAATTCAAAGCGGATCTCTTGGCACCGCGCAGCTTCACAACTGCAGTATGGAATTCGACCTTTGAAATGTGATCATCTCTGAAACGTGTGATAAGATAATGCAACAGGTGAATCAGGTTGTCGAATGACAACTTCAAATGTTTCTGCTTAATGTCTATTTCAGCGAATTTCTTTTGACGCAGTTTTACCTCCGCTAAGAAATTTTATAGCAGGTGAGAAAAAATAACATTCATGGCCGTACATCTAGAAGAGAACAGGTGATTGCAACTGAAGGATAATTATTTTGATAATCCACAAAAACAAATTGAAATGATTTGAGCAGGCTTATAAACTATCTTTCAATTTACTTTCATTAATGAAAGTCTAAGTAACAGGTATGTTCCAATTTCTAGTGCTATTGTTTTTCCTTACCCGTCAATGTCAATGTTTCTGAATACGTCTCTGGGGTTAACGACATGTTTAGACAAGGGACGTGCCAGCGATCTCTTGTTTAGGCACTCGCATGTAGATGATGGACTATTGAAAATAAAAGATATGCTATCTAAATGCAAGATAAGTCAATAATAACACACAAAGGACCATTAACTAATGATCTACGCATGTCACTGGCCAATAGTATGCCACTTCTGTATGACTCTAGCCAAGATCCAGCAATGCTCTCCGTACGATGTTCTTTTTCACAGAGACCTTATATTGTAATATTGACAGGGGCATATTAAGAGAAGTTTGTTGAAGACAAACGCTTTTTTATGGCGACGGTTAACTTTATTGATTTCATGGGCCGTTGGAAAGTTTCATTTAAAATATCTGGGTTAATTCAACATTATGTAATGCTATAAAATAACTAAACACTATTCTTTTAATAGAGGTTCCTTTCAATAAAAGCGGCCGGCCAAATTAGAACACCACATTTGTGCTTGTCCTTTACTTACACTTTTGCGTGGGTTAATGAGGAGACATAACTGTGCTTGGCAGCTATATCCACCGTGACTTACTTGATTTCCGCAGTGTTTAGAATGGCTGCCAGTAACGAAAAAATCAACCTTTAATCAATCAACCTTTAGAACAAAATCTTAGCAAAAGCAAGTAAGGCCTTCTCACTAAAATGCACTTACATGGAAAAGACCGAACACTTTGGGATAACGTTTCACCTGTACTTACAACCAGCCCCCGGACACCACTACTTTGATATCGGCGCATCCGGATTTGCAGCCACCTTGGCAGGCACAACCGAAAAGGTTGCACCAACCTACTCCGCAATATGTATACGTCTGAAATATTATACACAAACGATATGCATTTGCTCCATTACTATACAGGAAACATAGACAAACAGCTCCACTCTTTTATCGTAAAGTAAAATAGAAAATGACGGTGGTATAATACCCGTAATCATTGCTTTGAGGGCAATCTATTTAATACAACAATAACAACAGGCAAATAAAAACTTGAAAACCATTTCAATTTCTTGTACTGTTTCTAAACTAGATACAAAATGTCTTACTTCGCTACAGTCTCCACAGAATACGTCGTTAACAGTGTGACAGCATACTGCTTGAGCATGCTTTATAACAAGTGCTGCAGATAACGCTACGATAACAATAGTTACCGGCAAACAAGCCATCTTCTGGAATAAGAAAAATGAAGATATAAGACAAGAGCCCTTCGCCGCCCTTTACCCAACAAGACTTTTGACCATACCAGTCAGAAAATAAGGATACAGAGAGGCCATGGAGACTTCTAATCGCCTGTTCCCTACCGACCAAATCGGGATTGGATGTGATAATATTTCCTGTTATACGAATGATATGATTGTGACCAGCTAAATGCCCATTTGAAATTTTATAATTTTCACTTTCTTGACCATTTATTTTTCTCCTGATGCCGAAGTACGGTTTTCTTTGAATATCTAGGAGGCCTACTGCTAACTGCATGAACACGGATTATATATCTACCTACCTGTTGTTGCCTTTGTCTAATGAACGATGTTCTGATATATTATATATATATATCTATATTGACAATCTTTTTCTGCACCATCACTCTCATCAGCGCTGTATTATACGTACAAAGTTATTAACGTTGTTTTTATTTCACAAATACAAAATGACATTTTAAACCTTGCCAGTGTTTTAGTCTCTTTGATTAAAAAACTGCATAAAACTACAACGTTATATTGGCTAGATACCGAAAAGTACTGCAATAAACTGATGGACACGCATTACTAATACCCTGTAAAACATTTCTTTAAACGATTGCAGCTAAAACCAGAGCATGAGCAAGGCTCCTTACATTTAATATTATCCTGTATTTTTACTTACCACGGGCTGTATGGACACATTGATCACCGAGCGCTTTCTACATGAACAAAGGTGATTTGCACATTGTTTTTCTTCACTATGGTGTGTAGCTTTTTTCCAGCGAGACATTTTCGCATTAAATTAATGCCATCACTAAGCTCGCCTCTAGTTCCGGACATTCGATGAAAAGGATAGAAGTGGTGTTTTTCCTTTTATAACGGCAGAATAGCTTTGTCAGTCTTCTCAAAGTTTAAGTTAGCAAAAACTTTATTAAACACCAAATATACTTTGACTAGGTTCGTGCCGTATTGAAATAAAGTGAGAGACACGTACATTGTATTACATGCACTACATTGTGTATAATGATTGATAACAGATCAAACAAAATAATTGATTTAAAAAAAGTATTGCAACGAAAATAAGACAATGAAAGTGGTTCCTATGATATTAGATTATTTTAGATTTTTCCACCTGAACCGGGAAATGGACATTCGACAACAATTATTCAAGAATCTTAGCCATCATGCTAACTGCAACGCTCGTGAGAACGTTTTAAACAGGTTAGAACTGTATGCAAAAGGGAAAACATCTTCATTTTGTGGATCACTTGATTTCATTGTTTAAAGCACATTATATATAGGTGTACATGTATCTTCAATTATTATTGACCACCGCTAAACCCATCAAAAGCGAGCATGTTGTCTCTCATGTTGTCTCCGTCTATACAAATTCTTCGTCAAATTCGATCATATTGTCTCCATTTAAGTCCATCTTTACAAATTCGTCATCGAAATTCAAAGCGGATCTCTTGGCACCGCGCAACTTCACAACTGCATCCAGGAATTCTTCCTTGGAAATGTGATCATCTCTGAAACGTGTGATAAGATAATGCAACAGGTGAATCGGTTTGTTGAATCACAACTTCAAATGTTTCTGCGTCTTAAGTGACTATGATAGTATTTACCTTTTTTCTGGATTCACGGCGTCGATGGAGCAATTTCAATAATTTTCCTATTACAAGGTGATAACCAGCTCATTACAATTTGGAACTTTCTCTTTTCCGCAATTCTTCACAACCATTCCTTGTTTTGCCGATGTTGCTTCAATTTGATTTAAACCCCTATGCTAGTACACGCGGAGCTGCATTAACACGACCTACCTGTGGTTAAATTTGTCATATTTGGAATAAAGGGCGTTCTGCTATACAATATATCTATAATGACAATATTTTCCTACATTGGTTGCAAATTGTCAGCGTTGTGTTTTTGCATCCCGCACGCAGTAATAAACGCTGCTTTTTCTGACATAAAGCTTTTGTTAGCATCTTCAGTGTTTTTGTTTATATAGCAAAAAACTGCATGAAGCTATAGAAATTGTGGACTGCACTGAAATAAAGCGAGACACTTATCGCTACCTTTTGCAAAATGATGAATAAAAAACTCAATGTATACATAATTTTATAAAACTATTGTGGCTCAAGCTTGAAACAAACCACAGACAAGATTCCTATAAACTAAATAATTTTGTCTTTTGCGTTCCGAAACAGGAAATCATAATAGAGGATCGGCAGAAATATCGCAAAAATCTACTTTATCGCGCAGACGACCACACATGTTGTCACATGCTATATTGGAATTGAATACAATAAAGTGAAAACATTGATAAATTATCCAAATCGCTTTATTCTGATTTTGACGGTGCCATTTAGAACATGTTTACCTTCAATCACTGATCACCGTCAAACTCATCAAATTCGATCACATTGTCTCCATTTACGTCCATCTTGACAAATTCTTCATCTAAATTCAGTGCAGATCTCTTCGCACTGCGCAGCTTCACAACTGCATCCAGGAATTCGTCCTTGGAAATGTGATCATCTCTGAAACGTGAGATAAGATAATGCAACAGGTGAATCGGGTTGTCGAATGACAACTTCAAATGCTTCTGCTTAATGTCTACGTCAGCGAATTTGTTTTGACGCAGACTTCCCTCCGCTAAGAATTTTTTAGAGCAGATGAGAATATAAAAATAACATTCATGGTCATACATCTAGAAGAGAACAGGTGATTGCAACTAAAAGAAAATCATTTGGATGATCCACAAACACGAATTGATACGAATTGAGTAGGTTCATAAACTTTCTTTAAATTGACTTTTATTAATGAAAGTCTAAGAAACAGGGATGTACCAATTTTTAGTGCTACTATTTTCCCTTACCCGTCAATGTCAATGTTACTGAATGCGTCTCTGTACACACCGAATGTATTGGATAGTTTAATGAATTATGTCATGTTTCTGAGGAGTAGCATGTATGAAAGAGTTAGCAACGGGTATGTATTCATTTCTAGTAAAACTTACTCTCTTACCCGTCAATGTCAATGTCTCTGAATACGTCTCTGGGGTTAACGACATGTTTCGACAAGGGAAGCGTCAGCGATCTCTTGTTAAGGCACGTGCATGTAGGTGATAGACTATTGAAAAAGAAGATATGCTATTCATATGCGAAATAAGTCAGTATTTTCAGTCAATATTTCATACAAATGACCATTAACGAATGATCTACGCATGTCACTGACTAATAGGCCTCATAGAGCTGCCACTACTGTAGAAAAAGACCCAGTATTCGTTCCTTAAGATGTGTTTTTTTCACAGAAACCTTATATTGTGTTGCTGGGAGGGGCATATTAAATCTACTTGGCTGCTATATTCACTGTAAGTAACTTTTTTTGCTTTTCACAGTATTCATAATGGCTGCCAGTAATGAAAAAA